CTGCTGTGTGGTTCTCTTAGAAAGTGCTAACTTCAATCAATACTTGTAGACCTAGCTCTTTCCAAACGATAAAACAGAGTAGGTGTCTCCTACCCATTCACCTGAGGACGGAAACAGATCTCTTTTCCGAAATGGTGTGTTCTGTAGTGTTCTATAAAATACAGGGCGATGGACAAAGTCTAAAATCCCAATCATCGAGAAATTATAGGGGATCTTCGGTGCAGATATAGACCAGTGATGGTATAGTCTCCTTTTGCCTGATACAGTGGGGGAAAAAGGTAGAATAATGGGACTCTACACCCACAGGTTATAGACTAGATCTCAATTCAGCCATGATTCAGTAAGGATAGAAGAATTATACACATGTATCATTGATTTATATACTAGCATCCTTTGAAGCGCCGGTCACGGTAGCCGAGCGGTGGAAGGCATGTACTGCCTTCGCTCCCTTGGAAACCGGGATCGTGGTTTCGAATCCCACTCAGAGCATTGTTGTTTAGTTTGTGTGTGTGCGTTTTACTGTGTTTGTGTACAGGTAGAGGCCTTGCGAAGAGCTGATCACCCGCCCAAGGAGTCCTATCGAATGTGTAAGATATAGAAAAACCGAAGTGAACGGAGAAGTTCATGGAGGTAGGCCTAGGCCCACCGGGGCTGTAGTGCCAAGGAAAAAAAAATCCTTTGAAGCAATTGAGTTTTAACTTTACTTTAGAATAAACCATTAGGAAAGCCCATAAATCCGGGAGGGATTGAACCTGAATTTGACCCACCAGATTCTGGTCTATGGAGATTTTACTATATTGGCAGAACATATACACAGACGTACCAAAGAGAGAAAGATAGAATCTCTGTTAGACGCTAGTAAGGAAATAGTCTGGAAGTGAACACAGAAAAATATTAAGTGTACATTCACTTACCCTAATCAGGAATGAGAGAAAATTACGATATAGGGAGTAATATGTTCTGGTGTATAATGCTGCATAGTCCGTTAAAAGACAACCGACGTTTAGGAGGGACATATCGCCTTCATCTTCATGGCCGAATAATAAACCAATAAAGAAATCAGCATGAAGGAGGTATTAATGGTGGTTTGTTGTTTGGGTTATGCTTAGACACTGAAAATGGAATCGACATGTACCTCCGAAACGCCGGTTGACTTTAAATCGAATATACAGCGTCATATACAAAAGATAAGACTCTTCATAACCACCGCTGTGAGAACCTCAAATCCTACGTAATTAAGAGACTGCTAATACATCGTATGTAAGATTTGAGGCTTTCACGGCGGTGACTATGAAGAAAGCAGTCTTCTGGGATTTTGCACCGTGTATATGTGGTGTTAACCGACGTTTCGGAGGAACGTATCGCCTCAATCTTCAGGGTAGAAGAAAAAATATATAAGAAATCTGCAAGCAAAGAGACCGTGAGAACCGGTAAAAACAGACTAATACATCCTTCGAAAATATCGCCATTCACGAAGAAAATAAAATAACATTAAATTCTGAAAGTGTTTATTGCCATTGGGTTCACAACTTATGACTTCTCATCTGCTGTACGAGAACATACAGAATTAGCCATGCAAAACTGTAATTAAACTTGTTATTTTGTAAGGATTTGAAACCCGGTACCTCATATTGAAGGAACAGCATAGATTGAGGTCAATGCTTGAGGGTCTCAAAACAGGGACTATGAAGAGATGTGACACCATAAAGTTGTGTAGAAGTTTATTAAAGTTTAGAAGAAAAACACTGCTTCGCTGTTCTAGGTCGAAGAGTAGGCTTGGCATGTGAGCAGTAAGTAATCGGTAAGAAGCAGACTGTTTTCTGTTTGTTTGTTTGTTTGTTTGCTTGCTCTTCTTATTCTCCGACAGTAAAGACGAAGATAGTACGTTCCTCCAAAACGTCCTAAAACTTCTGACGGTTTACACAGCGTTACGTCCCAGAAGACACCCTTCTTCATAGACTGAGTGTGTGTTTGAACAGGATGGTCCTCCGTGGAAGCAACGGAGCCTGGAGGAAACTGGATATTGAGGAGCAGCATAATTTCACTTTTAACGCTAGATATTAATGCAGAAACACATGCAGGTCTGTGTACGCGGAATATTTTAACAGATTTTAAGAACAGGGAGCTGAGGAGAATATGTGGATCAAGGAGTTAGTAACGGGAGGATGGAGAAAATTACGTGTTGATGAGCTTCGTAACTTGTACACTTCGCCAAGTATAATTAGAATGATCAAGTCAAGGAGGATGAGGTGGGCAGGTCGTGTAGCACGAATGGGGGAGACGATGAACGCGTATAGGATATTTGAGAAAGCCAGAAGGAAAGAGACTACAGGGAAGACCAAGGCGTAGGTGGGTGGACAATATTAGAATGGATCTTAGAGAGATAGAATGGGATAGATCTGGCTCAGGATAGGGACCAGTGTAAGGCTCTTGTGAACACGGTAATGAACCTTCGGGTTCCATAAAATGTTTGGAAATTCTTGAGTAGCTGCAGAATTTGCGGCTCCTCCAGAATGGCTCAGCTCCATGAGTAAGTAAGTAAGTTAAGGAGGATGAGATGGACAGGGCATGTAGAAAATATATGGGAGAGATGAATGTATGTAGGATTCTGGAGGGAAACCCAGAAGAAGAGACACCACTGGGGAGAGTTATATGTAAGTGTGAGGGCAATACTAAAATAGATATTAGAGACAAAAAATGGTATGGACTGGATTTACCGGTCATGCTAGGGACCAGTGGAAGATACTTTTGAACATGGCAATGAACATTCGGGTTCCATAAAATGTTGTGAAATTCTTGAGTAGCTGAGGAATTTGCGGCAAATCAAGAAGAGAGATCCATGGAGCTAGTTAATTAGTAAAACTCCATAGGATCAAATTGAATAAAATCCCATTTTATGGTTCTCGAATCGTTTCGTTCGTAAAGACAGCGCAGTAAGACGTAGCGCTGGAATTCCAACGCACCTGCAAGGAGGATGAGCGGTTGCAAACTGGTTTCGTTTGGCTCAGCCCAGCGGCGGGATCTTACAAACAATCCTCTGGGCCTCACTAAAGGCGAGTAGTTTCTTAGTGTTTGAACGAACATTTCATTCTCAAGCAGGGCTCTGCCCCGCGATATATATCACGCGTTGTGACCCACTTATAGCCGCCAAGGTCACGAAGATAGTTGAGTTTCGGAGTATGGAGGGCGCCGAGTTGGAGCTTAGTTTGCCGCTAAGTCCGTGGGAGTTTGTGCAACACGCATCCCCTGTGTTTATCCTCACCTCCTTCCGTGGGTTCTGATATGATTGGTTGGGAAGGCTGAAGGACTTGTTTTTGGAGCTAGAAATCATAAAACTATGGTGCCTACAAATTTGCATGATGCCTTCTGGTAAGGATATATAGCGGAATGACTAACTCAGGCTCCGGACTGGTGGAACAGGAGATCTATCCCTGGGTCTTAACGGACCGTGCTCTAGCAGGACAAGAGGAACACTGTAGCACACACAGTGACAAAAATCATTGACAGTTGATGGCTCGTTTATTAAAGAACACTTACGGAGAATTACAAATATGGTCACGCTAATATGTAAATGACTACAGATCAACTTTAATAAAGTTAAATATTTTTTTTCAGCTATACTCTGAATCTGCAGGCGGACGTTACACTGTGATATCTTTATAATTTAGTATGTGAGGTTGTCGAAAATTTGACCGGCATATCCGTGGAGAGCGGATTGATGGTCCGAATATTTTGAAATCGAAACCAGAGAATTTTTGGAACTGATCTGTTCTGAAGAAATGAAGTTCTAAGAGCTTCAGCTTCAACCAAAAGTTGACTTCCTCAAACATGCCTTGTTGGCCTGGTTCAAAAAGTGGTTGGTCTCAGAGTTTTGCATTTCCCAGTCAGATGAATTTGTTAAACTATGTTAGCCCATGCCGGTCACGGTAGCCGAGCGGTCTAAGGCATGCACTGTCTTCGCTCGCTCGGAAGCCGGGATCGTGGGTTCGAATCCCACTCAGGGCATGGATGTTTGTGTGTATTTTTCTGTGTATGTACAGGTAGAGGCCTTGCGACGAGCTGATCACTCGCCCAAGGAGTCCTACCGTATGTGTAAGGTCTAGAAAAACCGAAGTGAACGGAGAAGTTCATGGAGGTAGGCCTAGGCCCACTGGGGCTGTAGTGCCAAGGAAAAAAAATGTTAGCCCATAAAACGCGATAGCACTGGACAGCCACTAGATGCATAATACTTGTAAGTTTAGCGTGGGTATCGCGGCACACTTTTCGTTTATTGCTTACATTAGATATCAAATGTCGCGTTACCAGAAATCTTCCGTTGTATCGGAACAGCTGAAATTTCTAGGAAAAGTGGCACCCTCTTCGTACCGCAAGAATGAGTGTGTCACGTTCTGCATGTAAGAACATGACTGTCATTAACCATACTTATGACATAGGTAAAATGTAAAGCTATCCCTGAACAGACCGTGAAGGCACACAGGAATGTGAGAGGTCAAGGTTCCCACATCTTCTAGACAATCGGTTGTCAGCCTTACGCGCCGGCCGTCCTCTCCCCCCCCCCCAGGAAGATCCCTGGTGCTCATTTCTGTTAGAGGCTGAGTCAACCCTAGGGCCATAGTGCAGCTGGAAGGATTAGGTAAATTGAAAAAAAACACCTCATCGGAATTCGAACCCACAACCTTCCGGTTTGTAGCATAGTGTCTCAAACAACTACACTACCGCGTGCCCCATATTATGACATACAAATTACAGGACTGTTAGGCTTATTTTGGACTCTATCAATCGTCTGGTATATAGAAAACAAAAAACCACAACGTTTCGGAGACTGGATCTGTCTCCATCCTCAGGTGGATGGAGCAGGATAAACCTACTCAGTTGGGCCTGTTATAAAGAGCTAGTCTCAATCAATCCACCTGAGGACGGAGACAGATCCAGTCTCCGAAAAATCGTGGTCTTTTGTCTTCTATATACCAGACGATGGATAGAGTCCAAAATAAGCCTAACAGTTCTGTACAGCATATACCATCATCAGAATCCTTTCAAGTCTATATAAATTACAATTTATTAGACGTAATCAAATATTCATTATAATGCGCCTAATTGTAATGAACGGTTACAAGATGTGTTGGAGTTTAGGTATGTGTAACCCTAGGTTGTGCGTAAAAGCAAATGCTTAGAAGGGCGCTGAAGTTGAAGTCGGAAGTAAATTTCTTTAGTTTGGTGGGGTTGGGTGAGACTCCAATTGGTATGTCAACCACTGTACTGGCCCCGAATGATAGATGAGTATTGAGCGTTTTGGTGAAATAATTGAAAGGGGAAACGGAATTACTCGAAGAAAATCTACCCCATTGCCACTTTGCCCACCACAAATCTCACATGACTTAACTTGGGGTCGAACTCGGGCCGCCGCGGTGGGAAACAGGAGACTAACCGCCTGAGATATGGAACGGCCTCAACTCGGAAGTAAGAAACAGAAATAATGCCACGTCATATAAATGTGTGATTTAAATTTCATATTTTATACTTGTATAGTTCGCTTGCAGACTAAAATCACGGAGTTTGTTTCTTGATCATTACCTAACAAACTCCATTCGCACCATAACGACGAGCGATGTTATTGCGCATGTTCTAAGTAACAATTACCAAAGATACGGAGTCACATTCCAAAAATACAGCAATATTCATTTTCAGAAAAACCTGTGCCGTGCAGCAGACTTTTTGAACTCCCGCCCTGTTGTCATGGTTTGCGGAAATTGACGAATTTTCATGAACGCTCAAGAAGCTGAAGAACGCGTGTCGCTAGAGGCAGACAGTCATGTTCGGTCATGTTGGTACATGCAAGAGTGGTTGACGTGACCATTATTCTAACTATAAGTGCCTGTTTCGTCGACTCTTATTGTGCTTAATACGTTCATTGTAGTTTAATATAATGTGTGGGCTTTTACATGTTATTCATATACAAACTGAAATAATTGCAGTATGAACTTCGTATCAGGGAACATAGACCATAGATTGTTATGTGCTGTTCAGACATGTAACCTAATTCAGCGACATCTCAGGCAACTGGTAAAGGTAAGTTCTTATACATTTAGCTATCCTCGCAATACAGTGAAGTGTACATTATCTTGTATTATACACTTCGATATGAGTTGTTATGATTAATTTTGCTGAAATTTAAATAGATGACAAGGTAGGTTGTGTTTATGTATGTTCTTACGTGAAACTTAAATATTTTTGGCATGGGGCGAAATTTCCTGTCTAGAAAACCGAGATTAACGGCCGTGGGGATCCGTTGCTCTGACCACATGGCACCCTCTATCCACAAATTTTACCATTACCTTCGCCAACAAGCGGCGGTCGCTCAGTCGGTATAGTTTGCTTACGGACTTCAGGCCACGGAGTTTGTTTGTATGGAGCGAAATTAGGTAGAATCGTGACTACCTGCAAAAGAAGTTGATCTGCTGCTACAGATCTGCCTAGGTTTCGGACGTAAGCCAATTATGAATTGAATCAGATACATATTTTTGGCAATAAAATTATTTTCCTGGTTCAGATTTAGTTTTTTCGTTACTCGAATAAGCCGAATGTCGCACCTCATTTGAAATATTCCGTTCGGACAATTTGACACTCGATGATGTAAGTATCCTATGAATTTAATGTTAGTGTTACCCATTGCACGCCCTATTTGAATCCTGCCTTGTTGAAGCTTTATACACACCTTTCGTTCACTTCGATTGATTTTGATGTAACTTCAGTAATATATCAGTTCCATCCAACGCGGTGGCCCGGGTTCGATCCCAGGTCTGTCCAAGTGGGATTTGTGGTGGACAAAGTGGCACTGGGGCGGGTTTTCTCCGAGTATTTCGGTTTCCCCTGCCAATCTTCATTCCACCAAATTCTCTATCATAATCACCCGGGGCAGGCTACAATAGGCCAATCAGTGGCTGCCGTGCCGAGTGGACCCAGTTGGACTCCACCCCTCACTAAGCGAAATTAAAAAAAAAATAATTATATCAGTTCCATTACAAACACCGTCAAACGTACGTTTTATTTTCTTTGTCAGTTTAAGAGCAATTCTTAGGGTTTAGTTTAATACACCCTCTGCGCGTACCCTCAGAATACTTTGCCCATTATTGCTGCAACTGGAAGTAGAAAACTTAGGCTTATGTTATGCGAGTGTTATTATATGCTACGCTACTCACTTTCATTTAAACACCAATTCACTTAATTGCCTAATTGATATCTTGTGTATCTGTTTATCTGTTTGACACTTTTACGCTTTGAATTTCATTCGCTTCAGTTCGTTTAAGGCAAATATTATATAAGGACATGTATATAAATATGGGTTGTAAGTTATTTTTCCAATTATTATCTTGGAGAACGTGTGATCTGTGAAGGCCAAATTTGATGTTTTACAACTCGCTTGTCCCCCCCCCCCTTCCTAAACCATTATTGTTCCGGCCCAGTTCGAGCCAAGCGCCTGCAGAAATCAATCCAGGACCACTATATCAACCCACTCGGTGTGATGTGTTGCAGTTATTTATTTGATTTGTGGGATACCACTATACATTATGTAGTAATTTTCAGATTGTTTTATATGGTGGTAAAATTGGGCTGTTAACTTGGAGTGACAAGACACACACAAACTCCAGTAATTAGACACAATCCACATTTTCGATGTGGTACATAGCTCAACTCTTGATGTGGTTTACGACCAATTATAACTTTGTTTAATTTAAATGAAGTACATGTTGGTTGAATCAACAATACCATGTGGAAAAGTACAATTTGACAAGACTCTACAACTGTTGTTGGAATTTACAAATGTGGGTTCCACTAGAGAAATGGTGAGAATTCATTTTGGAACACACAGCTAACGTTTGTTGTTTTATCGTTCTTTGGAATTTCCAAATGCGTGTGTAATTGACAGTAAAAACCTATTCTAATTGGAAAAGCATGGTTTCCGCGTTTTATCACGTACATCTTTATAATCTGTATATCCATAATCCGTAATCTGTTTGTAAGGCACTTGAGATCAGAATTCCGAGAGTAAAAGTGAAGTAATTTCTCTACTCCTCCCGATTAGACTGAGGCTCTGCATAGTGTTTGGAAACATGGAGAAAATGCGCTACTTTCATTTCACGTTCTTATTATGAATGAATGAATGAATGATTGTATGTATGTATGAGAGGTGGGCCTTCTCGGCCCTTGCACAGCGACCTACAGTGGTCTGTTGTGCTTTTCTTATTGCTCATACTTTCATACGTGCAGAGCAGTTTTTAATACGACGAAGTCCATAACTTTTTTTTTTTCTTTTTACGATTTACCAGATTAAAAATGTTGCTCAGGAACTGCTGCGCATGAGACGCAGTTTGATTCTGAAAGTTCTTAAAGCGCTTTCTCTTTTTCATAGAAACACATTTCAAATATCAGTTATATGAATTTTTGGTACGAAACACTCTTTGTCATATATTGATCCGATATGACAAATTATCTCAATGTTGATAAACATTTTCACATCTTGGCTCTATTTTTCTTCTGTCAAATACTAGAACGCGTCCAACAGCGCAAGGCCCTTGCTTCCCTTCCTCGTAACACATGTCATCAGGTGGCCAGTATATGCGGTCTGCACACGAGCATCTGGATGTCCACACACGCAAATAGTTCACTTGATCTGGGAAGAACATTTTGTCCGTAGTGTCCAAGTTGCATCGAAAGAAGCCCAATGTTTCGGTTAAAAGGAGAACCAATACGACGCGAAGAAGGAAATTATGTGCCCCACCAAACCGCATGATGTGACCAGTCATGATGAGTACTTCGTGTTTCACACTTCCGTTGTTGCAGGAAATTGATATTATGGGCACCTGAAACATAAATCAGTGCTGTCGTGCAGGAATTTTATGGTGTACAGTACAGAATTGGTCCTCAGGTGTTCAGAATCATGAATTAAAACAGCAGTAGGTTTTGCAATGACCTCTACTCTGCGTGCCTAACATTGCTCAGTACAAGTAATTATTAAGTTCCAAATGTAATTATTACTGACTCATCTGATTACGTTTATTCATGGTGTATCAACAAACGCCCTCTATGACATTAAAATCTAAGAGCCATTTGAATCATTCGTGTTAAGTGTCATAAAAGTATTAAAAATGAAATAATTTAGGTTTTCATCAGTTTACCTTCGAGAGCCGAGATAGCTCAGTAGGTATACCGACGGGCTACGGGCTGGATGGCTGGGATTTGATTCCCGATTTGGGTACATTTTTCTCTTCACCACAGCGTCCATGTCGGCTCTGGATCCCACCGAACCTCCTATCCAGTGGGAAACAGGGCCGATTTCCTCGAGGGGTAAAGCGGTTGGGGCGTGAAACTGGCTACTCACCTTCATCTAGTGCCGAGGTCAAGAATGGTGGAGTTCTGTCTCCACTCCCCAATTTGTCTTTATGATATAGAGCTTAATCGGTTAAGCACAGGCGCAACTTTACTTTCAATCTTCACCTTCAGTTCCTCTTTGATATATAACCGAAAGGAAGGCAATCTAACAAGTACTTAACAGTAATACGATGGTAATTAAGTTAAAAATATTAAGAATTTGGACTTTAAGGGAAAACGAAACTTTTCCGAGTCCAGTAATATGTCTACGTCTGAAAGTATGCATACATACAGGCGCAGAATCGATGTCGAATGAAATCAAATTTACGACCTCGACTGAAATAAATATTGCGCGAAGTCTGGGATCCTCAGGGAGATGTGTATAAAGATTATTAATGCCCGGAATGTGATGACGTGTAATCTAATAAATCATGCTGCCTCAAATTTTCATGAAACCCCGAAGATGGAGGCAGCACCTCCCTGTGAATTGTTCGTAACGATCTGCCAGACTGACTGGCGCCGGATCCAACAAGACAGCAATTTCGTATGAATTCAATTCTTCTTTGCACAAAATGCATAAATTTGTCTCGTAATGAGATATCATGCTTTTCCAATTGTCAGTGTTCATGTGCTATTTCCTGAATCACTGCTAAATTTCTAATAACTTCGGTATTATCAGCGTTAGGCAGATTTAATTTGTTTTACAGATTTAATTATTTCCGTCATATCTTCATTTATTCTATTCAGAGCGTTAATCTCTAATACAACACAGAGTTTAATCAATAAATGATTAATTCGTAGCACATTGTCACTATTTAGTGGTGACTACAGATGGAGTTTGAATTGGTGAATGGATTTACTGACCACTTATGCACACGACTTGAAATTACAACCAATTACAGCGTCACCGGTAATCTCAACACTTTACAAATCACCACGCCACCCGCTAAGCATTTTCCAGCCTGCTGTGTCATCACCTGCCGTTCCCTGGCAACAGTTTTAACAGTGGAGATTCTTCAGCTTCATGAGCTGGTCCTCCATCTTTACAGTCTCCCTTATAGAATACAACTCTTTCATTGCTCCAACTGTCTTCGTTATAACTTCTCGTCACGGACCACGTAGAAAACACTGTCCTATTTTATATGCGTATTCACTGCCTCGGAAACGTGTTTGTCGAGCTGTTGCCCAGAAACGGCCGTTCGACTGTACAAGCTACAATATGATTCGGCCATTAGGCCATCTTCAAGGTGTAAAGCAATCATCAGCGCCGTAGCCGTCCGCCGACGTACCGCTGCCACGACTATTACTCGAGATGAGTTCTTTATCTGAGGGATACGGGTGCTTCGGAGAAGGGAGTGGAACACACTTCGGGGTTAATGAATTAGGGGTTTCCAGAACACACCGTGTATTGAAGTCTTAATTTAAGATTTCATAGAGTGATTAATCTTTATATTATTCCTCCAAGCTAGCCGCTTCGTCCATCCTACTCGCTACCCCTACTGTAAAACATTTCTCTGTTCTCTGTCTACGTTTCAACTACATCCTCCTCCGCTCCCTATAACCGACTGCCTCCTTTTACAAGTCCCCCAGTGAGCATAAAACAAAACAAGAAAGATAACAGAGAAAGCTAAGAGTCTAGCCCGACATCTGTCCTACATTCGTATTTTTCGAGATGCCCATCATAAACCTTTTTAGGTCTTCAAGACACACGAGCATGGAACCCAAGACCCCTCCTGGCGGGTCTCGCACAAGGTCAGTTAATGGGTTTATGACACTAGGAGCAAACTAGCGACGTTAGGGACAATAGTGGCACCCTAAGCCTAAGGAGGACAATAGCCGAATTACAACTAGACGGTCCTGGGATGGTATCTCGCCGGAGGAGCGTCTCTCGTGGTGTGAAACAATGAATAAATTCGTCATGCCCTTAATTATATAATTTTGGCGAAGGACGTGCGGTTACAGTACCTTAACATGACTTGACCCTGCTACTGTGGGTCCAAGAAAAAGGACACAGACGAATTAAAGGAGCGAAGCGTTCGACATCCTCGCAACGCCACCAACTTAATTAAAAAAAAGTAGAGCTATCCCTGTAACAGGCCGTGGAGACACACAGGGTTGTGGAACGTCGAGACTCCCACATTTTCTAGTCATTCGGCTCAAAGATGACGGCGAGGTTGTCAGCCTTACGCGCCGGTCACCCTTTACCCCCAGTAAAGATCCTAGTACTCCTTTCTGTTAGAGGCTGTGTCCGCCCCAGGGCCATGGTGTGACTGGCTGGAAAGATTAACTCAAATGAAAAATTCAATAACCTCATCGGGAATGGAACCCGATACCTTCCTACTTGCATCCAGCAACCTGAGTATGGAAATATAAATAAAAATTGAATATAAAGATTTCTACTTTCAGATCATAAATGATTCCGTCGATGTCTTGTAAATTTGCCCTGTTTGGAGCAGTTATTTTCAGTTTGTCACTATCCACTTAAAATCTTTATGTAGACTTGCCCAGTCTACCACTATCCCACTATACGCCATGCAATAATCTCTTTTTGCATTCACGCCGCTGGTATGAGACCCGTCTTCCTCCTCCCCTGCAAATCGGTGAGTGAGATAATGTTCTATATGTATAACATGTTGAGTTGTGCAGAACTGTCAGTGAAACATTAGAGCATTTATTTTAACAGTTTGGTGGGACATAACTTACCTTCGAAGTATGTAGGGAGAAAAAATAATTTATTGATCAAAATAGGTGTTGGACTTTATAGATTCTTTCTGAATAGAATTTCAAATATTCCTGCGTGAGTCCACTACAACCTCAATTCCTTAAGCGTTTAGGTAATATTATTAAATTTATAAACAATTATTTCCCTGTAAAAGAGTTGATTACTGATATAGGCCTTTAATTAGCTTGTATTGGATACATATTTCGATGAGGTGTAGATGCATATATAATAAAATATAAGTAATGATAAGAATAATATATTTTGCCTTATCGGTGTACTTGCCCTACGACATATAGTAGATGTGTATGTCAGACTGATTAATTCGTATGTTACGTAGGGACGCTGTCTTAAGTGCGATAGTTATATAGACTGATATTAATGTTTATTGCATGCAGTTGGACATAAGCCAAAACCCTCATAGAAGCAACGGAGATGTACGAAGTCTGTAATATATAGCCCAGCCGGAATTCGATCTGGTTAGCTTTCGAATAAGCAGACTACAGTCTCACTGCTTCACCTACATGATCAGCCCCCCCCCAACTGAATATTATCAAGGTCAAGAGAAGATGAACGTTTGGAACACAAATAGAAAATATAAACCTGTAACTGGTTTGTGTATTCTAACTTCGGGCTCGACGTTTCTTTCATGATTCCAGTTTACGGTTACCTTAAAGCGATACACTGTGCGTCACTGATGACGAAACGCTTTCAACAGGTGTGAGCTGCACCACGTGAATTTAACTTAAATTAATTAAAACACCGAGGAGCTGATCACGCTCAACATATCGGCAGTGAGCACCAAGATATATGAAACGCCGTGGTCGAGTTGTCAGCACCCGTGCTTTGCATTCGCGAGGTTCCGGTTGTAGTTTCGGTCCACACTTTGCCTGCTATGATCGAAGTATTCCGTGGGTTTCCTTAATCCATCCAGACAAATGCCTAGATAGTAGATTGCAGCAGCATCCTTACATATCGAAGCGTGGAAGCCGTTGACACAACAACGAAGTAAATCAAATTTTAATCAAATATATGTATAAAAATCGGTAGAAATATCAGCAGTTCAATGAAGTTGACTATCTTACTGAATTGTTACATATTTTGGTGTCGTGAACCATCACATGATTTGAAAATATATAAATGAAATATATAATTATTTATTTGCAGAGTTATATTGATCAATAATCACAATAAATATGCCTTAAATAAGTAATATATAATAAATAAAATGAAATAAGTAAATAAAAAATTCATTACGCTATTTTTCATTATAAAACTGGATCTATCGATCTCTGTAATTCAATAATATTTTATTTTATTTATGTAATTTCAAACCATCTGATGATGGTTCCTGCTACGGAAACATATAGTGGTCGAATCAGAAAATAAAATTGATTAAATTGTTGATATTTCTATTGATTCTAATACATTCTATTAAAATTGAATTTACCTCTTTTTTGTGTTTGTATCTCCAGTGCCGTGATTTAATAACACAACAGAAAAAATTACTAAAACATGCTTACAAACTGATAATGCATTCTAATCCTATCACTCGGCGCCATACAATGTGGGTTACTGAAGGAGGCTCTAAATAAATATAAAATGAAACCGATACTTGGTTACACTTGTGGTAAAATCCCTGTAAATTTTGTTTTCCTTTTAGTAGCGTAATGAAATTTACAGCTAACATACCTGTCCATGATCGTGTCACTTTCTGTTTGCCACACTATGACCGAGGATACTGCCCGACGAAGAGCCTGCTACTGAATGCTTGGCGTGACTTATGTGCCACAGCAAGCTTCACGACTCTGAAGGCTGACCCGGAACCTGGAGGTGTCTCAAACCTGTTCCGTCTTGCGGGACTACTGTAGGAGAAACCAACAACGCTTTCGCCTTTCCCTCCCACGCATGAATAGCGATCCGCAAGAATAGCTGAGTGAAGAAAAATCATGTATTACTTTCAAGTCGTGCAACTTCGTACATTCGTGTATGTGCGCTTGCGTGTAGATGAGTTAGTGGGTGAATGAGTGTGTAGGTGATTACATGTGCGTGTATGTGGGCGGTTATGAATCTAGTATACAAAGGGAAGCATTACTGAGTATTTATATACGTTACTCAAACTTTCAGCTGCAATATTAGATAAAAGTACAAAATCCTGGTTCAGAAGAGTATGTAACCGCACCGAGATTTGAATAGAAGACGCTCACATCAATAGGAAGAAAGGTAAAGAGAGACAAAGAAGAGAAACGCTTTCAAATCTATATCAATATAAATCTATAAAAATTCAATGGAGTTGTAACTGACAGTGAAGATTTCTAAATCATCTGGCTTTGTGGGAGGCCCAAGTATAATTCTGTAGACTGGTCAAGGGGCTGTAATTGAAACGTTTTCTTTATTGGGTCCTTTTTGAAATGCTTCTTTTATATAGCGGCGACTGGGAGAACATTATTCTGAAAAATCAGTTGTAAGAGATGTAGGAAGAAGCGATCTTATGCAATTTGAAGTTAAATTCCAATATTTACTGCAGAAACGTTAGGAGATCACGGCATTCCTACACTCAGGGAGCTGAATGAAATAAATGAAGAAGTTTATTAATTATAATAATTGAGGAATACGAGGAAATCTCTCAAACAGGATAACTAACTGGGAAATAACAAAATTTTTGTCATGCTAAATGACTGAAGGAAACAGCTCAGTGAGGAAAACTGACTGAAGAGCACCACGAAATCACTCAATCAGTAATTGACTGAAAGAACCACGAAATATCTCAATCAGGATAAGTGACAGGAAAATCACTATACCCCCGATCAGGGTAACTGGCTGAAGGAAACAACAGATTATTTCCATCAGGACTGCCGGTCTCGCAAGCGAATATTGAGCACGGAACATCCCGACTGCGCAGTCGCAGTGCTGATCAATCTTCCCAGCTGTATGTCTTTGGAAAGTCACAATTCTCGAACGATTACTTCATGCAGTCGAAGTGGGGAAATCCTTGTAATCGTGACGCAACAGGTTCCGGAACAGACGGACAGCCTCTGCCATTTATAATGCAGTAGCCATCCAATCTACAAGCGAGTCTTGTAGAAGTAACCAGTTTCCATCTCAAACAGCCGGCCTTCATAAATCATTCGTTCCCCGGTGCCAACTGCCGGACGCCTGGGGCAACGAAACAAGTGGCAGGTTACAAACAACGCGCATGATTTACGAGGTATGACAATTAACCAAACTGATGTATTAATGAAACAACTCAGTCAGTATTGTGGCTGGTTATGGGCTGGTTAGACGAGGGATTTCTGCCTCTCCCCACTTCCGGCTTCCTATCCAGTCGGTATTTGGAAATTTACTGAAGCTGACCATCTTATAGTGCCGAAGATGAGAATGCGAGAAGCACTGTCTCTCCAATCCGTTATACAATCTGATGGTGTTTCACTAAGCAAAAGAATTATTTTACATTTAACTCTGTTCTTATGAACTCAGGTTGAGATGCAAAATGGGAAAGCAGCAAACCTTGTACTTAATTCCGTTTTACTCTAATTTCGAAGATAAATAACACCTGCAGTTTCTGATCGAATGATATAATAGAACGAGAACAATTCCTACGCTATATTCGAAGGGTTCCAAGTTAAAATATCGGCTAGGAGACAAGCTTCTTTGACTGAAACTTTAGTCACTTTTCCTCAGTTTCTCCAGGCAAATTCTCGAGTGATGTATCAAATTAGATTACACCCTCTTCATTACGAGGGGCACGTGGTAGAGTAGTTGGTTGAGGCACTAGCCTACAAGCCGGAAGTTCGCGGGTTCGAGTCCCAATGAGGTGGATATTTTCAATAGATATAATCCTTCCAGTCGCACTATGGCCCTGGGGTCGACTCAGCCTCTAACAGAAATGAGTACCAGGAATATTCTTGGAATGTTCTTGGGGGTAAAGGGCGCCCGGCGCGTAGGGCTGACAACCTTGCCGCCATCTATGAGCCGATTGTATAGAAAATGTGGTAGCCTCAACGTCTCACAATTCTATGGGCCTCCATTACCTGGTACAGAGATAGCTTTACCTTACCATACCTCACGCGTTTCCTTAAATTTCCTTTACAATTCACTCTTCAATAATAGTCCTATTTATTTAGAAAATTATAATAATCCGACAGGCAACGCTGAGGCAGCAAGATCAAAGTGTTCAGCAAACCTAATAACAAAGCCCGCCATTGGACGCGATCGCTTGCCGTATCTTGTAACGGGAATTAACTTTGTTCTAAAACTATGCGATAGTTTCTGAAATTAAACCAGCAGATTGCCTGGTAGACTCGACCACACTATTATGCTTTCAATTTTATACTCGTATTTCACAGAAAGGAAGGTTGAAGCAGGCCATACCATATGCCTACCCTACAAGAACGGACTGGTATCTGGTACATGGTACTGTGTCCCTCACCAGATGTGAGAAAGCGACCAGATGGGCGAGGTGCAAATACCGAACCGGGATAGCTTATGTGAGGCGCAGTGTGAGTACTGCATTGATCACAGGAACATATCATATAAACAGCAGGATAATGTTTGTTGTCGCAAGCAGAAGCGGCTGACATTGGCTGCAATTACTTCGGGTTTGCTAAGTTAAAATTGTGCAGCTCATGAATTAGTGAGGAAGGTTGGAGTACAGCTTACGGCGAAGTCGGAGGCAGTGTCTTCACTATCATACAATACCTTTACTGTCAAATTCAAGGAGTTTCACTTGATATTATCACTTGCCACAGTGATTAAAGACGGGGTTCGGATTGGTAATTGGATTCTTTAATAACCTACAGGTCGTATTTTCACAGTGCTGAATGCCGTCTTGTTACTTTGTATATTAACTAATGTACGGCTTCATCTATTAATGTAATACGTTTAATAATACCCCCCCACCACCACCAAAGTAATTTCATATGAATTTGCCTCTGAAAACAATAGTTGTTATACATGTACCAGTACATACACTTACAGATATCCCTTTAGATTCGAGAGAATACACAGGAAACTGCTTCAGGGTACTGTAAAGAAGAAGTTAATTAGATACTTGAGGTGTAAAATTGTTCGTAAAATCAATAAATAAGCATAAAATCCTTGAAATCTAATATATCAATTATACTAAAGTGAACACACACAAAATAATATTACGTTGCCGTAACAGTCATGCTTTCAGACGTATCACATATCACGTACATAGAGCAAAGCAACATAAGTAAATATCGTGAGGCAGATCTGCGCGTTTAACCTTCTAGCTCCTCCTGTTGCTACGCAGTTCCATGCGACACGCAACCATTGATTCACATAATTGACTCTCATGTAAATTAATTCGTATGGGTCGAGTTCACATAACCAATGACAGCCTGTTCTACTGTAGCCATTGATGTCTGGAGCCAGGCCTTCCACATTAAAGCAATTGACATAGCGGCCTGACGCCACTACGGGGCAGCAGCCGTACGCCGATCCAGCTATACAGATGTAACACGTTTCCTCCCGTACAGACAAACCACGAGATGAGAACAGCCTTGCAAAAATTTACGTTTCTTACAAATATACGGTACGAGGAAGGCCTAAATCTCTCATTGACTATTCTTTTTCTGTTATTTTCTCTTTATCCTTGTCGTAATTAAATTCATAATGATGTTACAGGAATTTATATGCAGTTCGTCAAGAAGCATCAGAAATTTGAGAGTAGTGTTCAGAAACCTCACCTACTGATCCCAGTCGTTAACGCGGTTTGCCGGCTTGTCTCATCCATCGAGGTGTTCCTATGTGAAAATTTTATATGTATTTCTCATTTCCTTGAAACGAGCAGCGTGTTCCTCCGCCCATCTCTTCCCCTTCGAATGCTGTACGAACTTTGACGTAGAACAATATATATGGCCTAATTGCCTAAGAGTATATATACATTTTTAATTAATTTTTAGAGTGAAGGTTTTAATCTTGTTATTTAATTCAACATAAATGTCCCACATGTAATTGTTATAAAGAGAGAGAAACCGAAGATAACTCATTATTTTCTTTAATCAAACGAAACACACGAAGCGGGTAAGTACAGTGAACCACTGGAAATGTTAGCAATACAGACGTAGCCCAATAAAATAATTCGAAGGTAAACTGTGGGCGTGAAATTGGAGACAATTAAGACGACTAAAGTATATAAAGTGTAAACACCAATAATTGAACAGAACACGGATAGTGTTTGCACTTGAGCTTGTCATACAGATAACTGTGAACAGGACGATCTCCTGGGTCGATTGATTTTTAATTTTGTTTCGAACTGGTCAAAAATAAAAACAGTTTTTCAGCTGATGAGTTACAGCTTCTGGGATGTAACACCCTGTAGTCCGATGACATTCAACCGAAGTTTCGGAAGAAAACATCGTCCCAATTCTACGTCTAAAGTTAAGCCAAACAAGGAAAGAGCATTGAGTGAACAGCGCGGAGCTCTTCGACCATGAAGATGGAGGCGATATATCCCTCGGAAATGTCGGCAAACTTTCACCTGACTGCACGGCGTCACTTCATATCTAACGCCGTTGGAACCTCAAATCGAAAATACTTCGCTTAAGTAAAATCGAACATTTATAGGTTTTCTTGGACACGGCACAAAGTATGAAAAATTAGTATACAGCTCATTAGCACCTATATCTCTTATTTTGTGAGAACCTTAAAATGGTGAACATATAACGAATGAGGCCTGAAGACCGTGGGCTGTGTAAGTAATTTTTTCAGTAGTTTCTATATAAAACGTAACGGATTGGGATATTGTCATGTTGCAGCAGCGTATTTAAGAAAATAAATATTTAAATAATGACTCGCCGGTCACGGTAGCCGAGCGGTCTTCGCTCGCTCGGAAGCCAGGATCGTGGGTTCGAATCCCACTCAGGGCATGGATG